TTTTCAAGATCCCTTTTTCACTACTTTTTAACTTTATTTATGTGTGATTTGTTCAATTTTATTTTAAACATATTTACCCCTTTTTTTTTGATATTTTTTTTGTAGTTTTTAAACACTTTTTGGTTTGCCCAGATTCAACCAAACTCACGCCAAGTAACTTGAGCCTTACTCGACTCGGCCAAGGGCCAAGTCGGGAAGCCGATTCGAGCATTCTAACACTGACATCCATGAAAGAGGGTGTGAGATTCCTTAGTTGACGTATGATATTCCACTCTTCGGTGGAGTCATGTGAAATATTCCTCAGAATGAAGTGATGCCCACTCCCATCATACCATGAGATATAAGAGCTAGAGAAAGAGAGGCAATAGTGGTTACTAAACTGTGAATGTGTGGTTTAAGACAAGGCGGGTGTGGTTTGTATAAGTTGTTAACATTAAATAATCAGGGTAAGGTGCACCTTAAAATCTCATTAAAAGATATATTTTTGTTATCAAAATTTTTATAATGGCCTAAAAGTCTATTTTTTACCCTTATAATGAAATTGAAAGTTATGAAAATAGTGCAAATCAAGCAGATTATGAGCACTTGAAAATTTTAAAAATGGATAGGCTAGATAATGTATTGCAAAATGTCCTAATTTTAGGATTTGATTTTTTTTTTTTTTTTCATACCTAAATATATCGAGGTTAATTGGAGAATTTTTTAATGACGAAACAATCTTTTTCAATGGATTTTTTAGGTGTATTGTACTTCAACCCCTTATATAAACTTTTTCCAAATAAGGCAGGGAGAAAGAGAGAGATAATTTGGTTGTGAGAGAGAGAGCATCCAATTTTCCTCACTGATGAATTTATCTTCAAAGCAAGAGTCAAAGATTTATAAAAAAGGTATGTTACTCTTCCCATTTCACTACTAGGCGACATGGGTGGTTGCAGCCATGCATCAACAACAGATAATTATGGCGACACTTGGTGGAAAGGCCCCCTAAACCCTAGTATTCGTCCTATTTTGAATAATACAATGGGTTGATCGCTCCACTGGCTAGCTATGGTCCCTAGCATTTCTATCGATCGTTCATGTCATGTAGGCCCGAGTCCGACATCAAATTGCTTGGGTTTGGATTATCTTTAGGTTGCCTTATAAATGATGTACAATTAGACTTATTTTTCGATTCAATAGAACCTCAAACGAAGGCAATGGGCCAGGTCGGTCCTGGTTGGGCTAAAAAAAAGTGCGGTTTGTATAGAACTGAGGCTCTGAACAATCAAAGTGAAGCGTACCTTCAAATAATGTGGTTTCAATACTAAAAATGTTTGTGAAAGCCTTAAAATATATTTTCATATCTAATTATAAAAATTAAAGCTTCAAAAATAGTGTACATCAAGCAGATCTTGAGAACTTGAAAATCTTGAAAATTGATGGTCCAAAAATACGTTACAAGATGCACTATTTCCAAAACTTCAAATCTATTTTTTTTTCTCATGTCCATACATCTTGATGTCGAGATGATCAATTTGATGATATTTGAGCATCAAAACAACCTCATCTAATGAAATTTTTGAGGTAGGATGTAATTGGATTGTTTAGAGCCTCGGCTCTATATAAACATTTTCCATAAAATAAAAGCAAAAAGTAAAAGCAAAAACTAGAGTCAAACTCGGCCCTTAGTGGCCCGGCCCTAGCTCGACTTTCGGCCCACCTTTTGTGGCCTAGCCCCTACTTTTTAAGGGCCAGGCTAGGCGGCCCATTGCCACACTTAACTCGTTCTATAGTGCCGATGTATCAATTATTTCTCGCCCTTTCCCCCCTCTCCCTTTCTTTTCTCTAATAAGCACTCACTCCTCTCTCTAGCACAAGCACCGGACAATTTCACCAAAATAGAACACGACCTGACCAAAGGGAGTTAAGAAAACCCCCTCTCTCTATATATATATATGGGAAAAGTTTATATAGAGCCGAGG